AAAATAACACTGCTACAGTATAATATTTGAGGAATATGTTAACAATAGTTAATGCATTCTAAACTGGAATGAACTAACAATGAACAATAGTATATTTAAAAACTAACATTGCCTTTAAGTTCATAATACCTAATGCATTTAATAGTAAAGTTGATGTATTGAACCTATGAATTTGTTAGGCTTATTGTCAAGCTCCCATCACTTGAGAAACGCTATCCCACAATCCTCCACGCAGACCTGCCGCTCAGCTCCCATAGAGAATGAATGGGAGAAAAGTTGAAAACACTCCACTCATGCATTTACTGTCCCGTTTTTGATATCCCTGCGCATGGGTTTGTGGTGTTGCTTTGATTTCTGTACCTGTACTGAGACGAATTGTTGAACTGGATCAAGCGAGGGTTCAGTTTCTGCACCAGAATCCTGATAATGTTCATGAACAGAAAGAAGTTCACCTGGTTGGGAAGGAAAACAGGAAAATATGAGCTGAAAATATCTGTGTGTGAGCCAAATTCATTAATCCGTGTCCTCATGCTTTATCTCACCCCTATAGACACTACAATAGGACCCTTGATGATCCACCAATAAGGAGAATCTTCATTTATGTCCCAACACCTGAAAAAAAACATCAACAACAAAGGCCTGGATAAGACAGAGCTGATTCAAATCCGTGAACTGTTTTTGTACTTAAACTGTAGATCTTTTTGAATTTAAACTATAGATTTGAAAGTGTGAGTAATTCTAGCTAGTGTGTTCTGGGTGGTTGCTATGCGGCTGCTGAGGTGTTCTGAATGGTTTTAGTGTGTTGCTCTGCATTTTCCAGGGTGTTCTGGGTCATTGCTTACTTAGCCCCAAGTCTTGTAGCAGACTAGCTGCCGACTGAAAATATCAAAGGCGATGAGATTGAGTCTTGTAGTGCGCTCTTGGCTTTAAGAACTTGTTCAAATCCCTAAACCTAGTATGAACAAGCACCACTAAGTAAGGTAAAGAAAAATGTGCAATTACTCTGTGTCCTCAAAATACAGTCTAGAGCAGATCCAGAGGATGATGCAGACCAGGGGAAAACCTGCAAGAAAAGACAAGAGACAGACAAAAAGATTAAAGGGGTCATATGATGCGATTTCAATTCCTTTAAGAACTTGTTCAAATCCCTAAACCTAGTATGAACAAGCACCACTAAGTAAGGTAAAGAAAAATGTGCAATTACTCTGTGTCCTCAAAATACAGTCTAGAGCAGATCCAGAGGATGATGCAGACCAGGGGAAAACCTGCAAGAAAAGACAAGAGACAGACAAAAAGATTAAAGGGGTCATATGATGCGATTTCAATTCTTCCTTTCTCTTTGGAGTGTTACAAGCTCTTGGTGCATAAAGAACATCTGTAAAGTTGCAAAGACTAATGTCTCAAATCCAAAGAGATATTCTTTATAAAAGTTAAGAGTCAGCCACGCCTACCTAAAACGGCTCGTTCTAACACGCCCCCACATACCTACCTCACTATCTGGGAAGATTTG